CCTTTATCCAGGCTTTTTCTAGTAGGCTAATTCAAGTCCCATTGACTCACATAAAATTCCATTTGTTTTAGTAAGCAGAAGTGCAGTGTCTAATTTGTATGGTTCAAAAACTGCTACAAAGCAGAAACTTGCTGTGCCTCTCCACCTAGTGCCACTACTGAATCTTGAATATAAGATGAAACTAAGCAGAAATTAGTGATACATTGGTCCTCTACCTATGGCTGTCCATCTTCTGAAATCATGTATCAGTAGCCACCATCCACAAATGGACCAGTATGGGGACTTCACTTACTTGAGATAGGAACGGATCTCTCTCTCTTTCTCTGTCTCTGTCTCGTGTGTGTGTATGTGTGTGTGTGTGTGTGTGTGTGTGTGTGTGTGTGTTCTGTTTGCAAAAAAAAAAGAAAATGCGTTGCCATCTTCCTAGAAAAACATTCCAAAATTCATAAAAATAGTGTATAAATATATTGTGGGTTTCAGTTTATTTTCAAGTAGGAACAATGAAAGTTTGTTTTGTGATACAGTTTTAATGCAGTATTAAAGTATAGTGATGTTGGGCCAGGGGTTTAGCTCAGTGGCATAAGTGCCTGCTTGGCAAAGTCAAGGTCATGAGTTCAATCCCTGGCACCAAAAAACCCCCAAAATATAGTGATGTAGGGACTTGAAATGCTAAGACCATATCCCTTGCTTGTCTAGTTTCTGTAAGTTGCACTTACTGAATCTTAAATTTATAATTTAGTTAAGATTCTGGGGGCAGAGAGCAGTCGGCAATCCTTAGGCTCCCTTTCTTGGCAAGTCTGATATAGACAAATGCTTATTGCCCAGAGACCACATGACTGGTCATCAGAGAATATGTTTTGTTTTCATGTAAAAGACATGCTGAAGATCCAAACTCAAAAACAGTTTCTGCACATTGCATTGGTTCTTTGTATTCAGTGTGACTTCACCTTTTAAAGCTTTTTATTTTTCTTAATTTTTTGAAAATTAATAAATTAATATTTGAAATGGTTACAATTTATAACTTCAGTAGGATGTTCATGTGTTTAGTAGTCTCAGGAACAAAGAGCTCTAGATTAAAATTCATGTCAAGTAACAAGTAACACTTAGCATGTATATTTATAACAAGTAACACTTAGCATGTATATTTATAACAAGTAACACTTAGCATCCATATTTATAAATGAAGGTGTTTATTTGTTTCTGAAACAAGTTCACATTATGTAGTCCAGGCTGGCCCTGAATTCACTGTGTAGCCTAGGCTGACTTTGAACTCATGGTGATCCTCCTGCCTCAGCCCTGCTTTCCTCATAGGTTCAAATGTAATTCCAGCCCTGCTTTCCGCATAGAATTCTTTCAGTGTCAAAATGAGAACATGGAATCACTTTATCTCTAGTATGACGTAAAAGTTCCTTGTGTTATCTGCAGAACATTCAGCAGAGACAGATGCTTCTACCTTGATATTGTCAATAGATTGAGATCCAAGTAATTAATACTGAAATCTCATGATTTTGAAGTGTATCTAGGGAAGGGATAGGACTGTTTAATATTCTCTTACCTGGGTTTAGTATTTGGAAATACATACCTTTCCTTCTGTGAAATTTTTACTTCCTAATAATTTTGGTTTGAATATAGAAATTATAGAAAAAGAGAGAACTGAAGGGATTGAGAAGAAAAATGGTAGACAGCAGGGCAGGAATAAAGATCTTTTTCCAGTGTGGCAACCAGGTGACATGTTTCCGAAGGGCACTTCAAAGGAAATGTCAGAACTCAGAGCTGTCTGGTATACAATTGAAAGGCCCAGCACATTTAGATAAGGAACTCACAAAAGACTACCATAAAGTCAAATGAATGTAGAAACATCTCAATAAAATTTGGAGAAGATAGATTATACAAATAGTTCCGTCAGCATAGGTGGTAAATAGAAATATTATTGATCCCATTGTTAGTTCAAAGTAATTTAAAGGCCATTTAAAAATGAGCACAGAGATGGCAAATCTTTTAGAGCTGTCAGTGATACAGAGAGCCCACCGTGCCGTAGGTTTGCCGCCTCTGAGTGTTGTCAGCCTTATACTTTAGGAAATCTTTTTTTTAAAAAGCTCCCAATTTTCTCCAGCTCTCCCTTACTCTTGTTCTATCCACTGACCCCATTTTCCTGCAAGTCCCACAGCACATGGTCGCTCTGCTACAGGGCTCTGGAACTGCAGGCGTGTTAGTTGGGCAGCTTGATGGCAGAGGTGAGACTGAAGAGTCTAGAGAATAATTAACCAGCTAATTAACTGGGATTTTTCAACATAAATCTACCTCTGTTTTCATTGTTTACTTAGACTGTCTAGTAAACTCTTGGAAGACATATAGCACTTTTACTTTCCTGTGCTGATTGTTTAGGTTATGAAAGGACAATTGTCTCCAGGTGACTGTTATCAGTAAAGACCTCCAGGAAAATGATTCATTGACAGGCTGCAGCAGCTGACTTTTTCCTTGTTCTCATTATTTTTAAAAAGCTGCTGTAACTTTTCTGTCCTTTTGTTGTGTATCTTTCCCCCTTGTAACCAAAAAATATTTTTATTTACTAATAATAAGGACTGTCTTTCCAAAACACAGATCTGTTTTGTGTTTAGCTTTTTATTTTAAATCAGTCTGGAACAAAAGTGTTCATCTTTATTTGATTTGCTGCCAACTAACATAATTCTTGGCCTTCACACCTTACCCTGGATGTACACTGCCCGGAAATATAAAAAGTTTTGATTACTGCACGAAAAAGAAACCATTAGGGAAAAAAGCACACTGCCAAAAGTTATGCAAAAATTATATCAAACAGTGTAAAGTAGTTTAAATTTTGAATTATTTATCCTAAGGCTTTATATAATTTATACAGATGATAAAAATTGATTGGATTTTTAAAGCAAATAGTTTAATAAATGTAAGATGTTCCCATGGCCCCTACTCAAAAAAAATCTTAATGAATCTTAATAGAAAAGCAGTACTTGTAGTCAATGCCATAAGATTTTTCAGATCTTCGGAAGAGAAGTTATAAATAAGATTGGGCTTGAGATGAGTGGATGGATATTGTTTTTTATATTTATTTCTGCATGTAATCTTCATTTTGACTTAGAAAGCAGATTTCTGTCACTTTAATGACAGTAAATCCAAGCACTATTTCATAAATATATAGACTTTTGGGTAAAACCTATAAACTATAGATTTTGTTATTGTCTGCTCATATTTAAACATACTACTTTTGTGTCTCTAAACATTGTTTACCATTGCAAGGAATGAGTAACCTTTGGACAAATGACTGCTTCTAATTCTGAGGCAGGAAAGGTACAAGCTGAGCCTGGAACATCTCAAACCAGAAAGCAAGGAAGTTACCAAAGATTGCCAGAAGTCAGAAGAACTCACAAGACATCAGCTTTTGCAAGCTTATGTCAGTAAATATAAACTGTGATAGATTGAAACACATTAAGTATGTTTTAGATAATTAAACATTTAATTTGATACAGTTTATATAGTTAACCATATCAAATATTTCAACCCAGGAGTTCATAATTATGCAGTACAGTACTTCAACAACAACAACAAAAAAACTCACTAACCATGTTTGGACAATATTAGAGACCACATCATCATTGTCTTGAGAAATGGTAAATGAAGCGAATCAGGCATCTATTCAGCCTTATGTGACTTGAACCTCAGGATACCTAACAGGCAATTTTCTCTTTGTAGAGTTATTCCAGCTAATAAGTCAAGAATGAATAGTAGAATATCACTGTGAAGTTTCTAATGAATCTTTGCATTTAGGCAAGTATCAGTGGGTAACAATATGTCCAAAAGAGCCACCCAAGCATTACGTGCCCCTTGATGGAAATTCAAACCCTGCATGAAGGAATCCTCTCTTCCAGGTGCACTAGAGTCAGATCAAGCTCCTGGATCAAATTACACTTCAAGAAGCCTATAGAGGGCAGAGAGCAACATTAACAACACCAATGGGATGCAGTGTACAAAATCCAGAATTAGAACTACCAGATACCTAGTTCCTTCAACAACACTAAAAATAAAATTACATGGAAAGACTGGAGCTTGAGAAAACCATGGATTACAGAAATCTAAGGAACATACCAAAGCATCACAGTGTATAAATGTTACTTGAATCCACATCCAAAAAAATTGTAAGATATTGTAATGCGTATTTGATCACATGAAGTAATTATTTTTAGGTGCTATAATACTACTGTGGCTGGGCATTTTTGAATGGCCATATTTTTTAGAGACACACTAAAATATTTATGATGAAATGATGTGACACTTGGCATTTACTCCACGTAAAATAGTGAAAGAGGCTGAGTAGGATTGACAGAGTAGAGTTTTTAGTATAAATGAAACAAGATTGCTCAAGTATTGACAACTGTCAAAACCAAAAAGTAACAGTCACTGGCCTGTTACTCTCCTTTTGCATATATTGAAAAATTTCAAAAATAAAAATTTAGATGTATCTATGCATATGCATTTAATTAATTTCATAAAGCTGTAAAGTTTTACCTAGGTTTAAATATTATAAAGAATCATAGACTGGCGAACTTTGAAGACACAAACACTTGGAAGTACTTATAATGAAGTACTGTGATTTTGAAGTCATGTAAAACTAAAATAGTATTCTGCTGAAGTGCTATAAATCTGGTAACTTCATAATATAATACACAAGCTTAAGATCAAAAGTGAGACTCTAAATTGTGTTATAAATTAGGCATTTCGGGACCTAAAGAACTGTAGTCTATTTGGGGGAGATGGAAAAGATGGTGTGTGAAATATTTATGAAATGCAGTTATGATTGGCACATATGTGGAATATAGGAAGAGAAAGGTAAGCCAATAAAAGCCCGAGGCAGGGGAACTTTTGCATCCGCTAGACCTCTGCCAGGATCCTCCCTTGATGATCTTCTTTAGAGTCACATTAATTTTTTCCTGTGTGGGTAAATAAACTTATTTTTGTTTGTTTTCTCCTAGTTGGGGAATGGCAGTCAATGTGTATTCTACCTCGATAACCCAAGAGACTATGAGCAGACATGACATCATTGCATGGGTTAATGACATAGTATCGTTAAACTACACGAAAGTGGAACAGCTTTGTTCAGGTAAGAGAGCATCTTTTAAGCATTTCCCTGAAATGTTTAATGACTTGAAGAATGTAATTTTATGAATCATACATGATATGTTTGGGGAAGGAAAAATGTATATCAGTTTTGGTATATAATTAAAGGAGAAAATTCAATCTAGCTGAAGAACAGATGGGTGAAAAATGTGTGAGCATCTGAAAGCATCTAGCCGTCCTGACAAGCATTGTGAATTGCCTCTGGCTTGCTCTGTGTAACTCCTCTCCAGTGCTGTCTCCTAGCCTCTTATCTGCAACCAATTTGTCCCTATATTTACTGCTTACAAACATAGTGGATCTTGTAGCACCCTTTTACAAATCTTCAGTGCCCCACATTGTCCCTCCCTGGGATAAAATTCAGTCCTCATTCTATTAATATGTTGTTTTTCTTTTGGTTGCCACCCACCCGTCTTCACAGTTTCATTTGCCACATCTCTTCCCCTCTGTGCCTCAGCCCCACAAAACACTTCTTGTTCCCTTAAGACTGCTCCCCTTTGACATTCCATAGATTTTTTCACACTCTCTTGGCTTGGAAGGTCTTTCTTCTTCTTTATGTTTGCATAAAGTCCTGCCCACACTTTGAAATGCAGCTTACCTGCCTGCTCCTCTGTGAAGTGTCCCCCAGGTTCCCAGACTGCCAAGTCCTGCATGTTCCCAAAGCATTGTCCTCCCCTCTAGAGTGACCTGGCCACACTGCATTACAGTGTCTGATTCCTGCTCCCCCAAAGGTAATGAGAGTTCTTGAGAATAGGCTCATATTTTATTTTTGTTAAATGCCTGCATGGCAGTGTTACTTGATACCAAGTAGCTCTGCAAAGACTGCATATTGATTTAAACTTACTTAAAAAAAGAAAAAGTTTCAATAAAGTAGGGAGATATTTTATATATGTATATGTAAAATAATCCATTCTTAGGTTCAAGTATTTTTCAGGGAAATAAAAAGACCTCCTTTGGAAACCAAAATTTTTTTCTTTCTGTGAACTAGTAGGTAAGAATTTCCTCTCTACTTCTGGCTCTAACATGACAATGATAAGAGAAAGTAGAAAATATTACTGAAATACATTTGAGGATAAATCCCAACAGATATTATACCATAGAGTCACCAGGTTCAGCTAATGCATTGATATTAGACATTTTGCTCCCTTTCTCAGGAAGTCATATAAAAATAATTTCATGTCATGCAGTCAGAAGTTGGCAAGCCCCAGTCGTCACTCTCAGATCATGTATGTGTCCAGCACCCACCAGTTTAAGTATTCTCCCTTCACTGGGTCTGGATTTGACCAGAATACATTAGAGGACTCACATTCACTGCTGGTGACAACTCTTCCTTCTTGATCCTTTTTCCCATGAGGAAGACATTGTGATTGGCATTGCCTTCCCCACCTCTCTGTGCCCAGAACTCAAACATGAAGTCCTGTAACTTAGGTCAAGAGAGGCAGTAACTAACCAGTATTTTTGTCCTTCAAGTTACAGAGAAGTGGATTAGGACAATGATGATATATCAGAGATAGATAGATAGATAGATAGATAGATAGATAGATAGATAGATAGCCGGCCTACTGAAATGGCCCGAAGTTACTTTAAGAAGCAACTTTTACTGTCTCTTACTTAACTCCATTCACTCAGATATTTCTGTGTTGCTTTTTTGCTGTTCATTCTAGTGCTAATATTTTCTTTCTTTTTTTTTTGGTAGGAAAAAACACTTATGTTAGCAACCCTTTGGTTAATAGCACTTACTACTTTGTATTGAAATTATCCATTCTCCACAGTGCACAGTGTTCCTTCAGAAATGCACATTTGGGGGATGAGTGAAAAGCTATTTACAGCTACTAGGAGGCAAAGACAAAAATGTAAATCTTACCCCAGTGTGGGTGTATGTAAGGAGAGATAAGGGAAATGAGGTTGGTTATCAAGAAAAACAGAAATAAGGAAGGAAATAAGAAAAAGAGTTATAGAGAACATTTCTACTTTGGTCTTAAAGAGTCTCAAAGGAGCCTGCCATGTAGTATACTTAGAGAATTTTTGGTTACAAATAGAATAGAGTAAATTAGAACTTTTAAGGTATAGTAGCAAGTGTTTATGATATATATATCTGTATCTATCTATCTATCTATATATATATATATATATATATATATATATATATATATATAGTCTTTGCAAATCTCTTTCCCACAAGGCAAATTCAGTACAATTTTAAGCAGCATTTATGAAGGATTCTTGTATCGTTATCTTAAAGAATTGGCATACATTTGACAGCCATTTGCAGCTGCATAGTGCTGTCAGGTATGGCTTGATCAGAATATGTAAACAGCATATTGACCAGGCATAATTTCCAGTAGGATAACTTCCAGCAATCTAAGATTACCAGGTTGGATTAGAAGAATAAGATAGATTTAAAAGGTTCCTTTTTGTTTTGAAACATGGTTCTTGCTAGAAAATAAATATACTACAGAGGTGTTTTAGTTTAGGAAGTAGTTTTCTATACACCAAATATAAGCATTTTTAGAAGATTTTAAAGGGAAGGTGGTGTAGTAGTACAAACTGTGGAGCAGATGCATGTGTGATAAAAAGGCAAATTCTTGGGAACTCCTGCTTGACCTTCTAAGTCAGTACCTTTGGGAGTGCAGCTTCAAAATCTGCATTTTAAAAGGCAGCCATGTACTTTTGTCTGTAGCCTAGAGCTTGCCGGGCATTTTTGAGAAACCCCAAACCACTGAAAGTGAAGTTAAGTTATCCAAAATCTGTCTGGCACTGTTTCCTTATTCATAATTTAATCTGCAACTTTTATTTTCAACAAGGACATTTCGCAGAAGCAGCTACCTTCTTAATTATTTATGAATTTATTTATTTATGCCCTTCATTGTTCTAGAAGACATTTAAAGCAGCTAGGACAGTGCTGTTAGGATAAGAACAAATCCAAATGTTGTTGACCTATATGATTTATCCTCATGTTTATGCATAATCAAATTTGGGAGATAATATTTTTCTTCAGCGTTTAATTACTTTTAGTTTTACTATGTGTGGTTTCATTATAGTAGCATGCTCTGGAAAAACATGCACAAAATACTTTGTCATATCTAAATTGATTTTTTTTTTTGGCTTGTTAAACCTCATTTGTTACTCTGCTTTATGAAAACTTATGTTCCTATCTTGGTGGTGCCATTTTTGCATACTTCGCCTATTATTTCCCCTTTCTCTCTTTTTTTTTTAATCTCTAGCTAAGAGCTCTCCCACTAGCTCAAATTTTTTGTCTGTTTTTTTAATCTATTTTTATATACATATACATATTTTTTCTTTCAGCTTCTCACTAATGAAGCAATACAATGTTTACACATGTGTGTCTTATTTATCTCACTAATGAGTATGTTCTCAAGATGTATCCATTTACCTATAAAAGTCTCAAGTTTTTCCTTCTTTATGGCTGGACAGTACTCCATTGTATAAAAATACCACATCTTTTTGACCCATTTCCTCGGTCAATGGTCATTTAGGTTGTTTCTAAGATCTGGCTGTTACAAACTGTGCTGCCTGTAGTTCAATATTAGAACTAGCTTCAGTTTTTCATCAGCTCATGAAGAGCTGAAAATAACACTTCATATTGAAATTGCATTTTCCTCAGAATTTTCTTCCCTTTGTAACATCGCTTTTGTTTCTATATAAGCATTTTTTAAAGTTTTTTAAAGGAAAGATGGCCTAAGAATGTAGAACACTTGGGAACCCATTGTAGTAAATTGTAAAACAATGAAAATGACTCATTCTTATCTCCTGTTATTTTATCCCAACCTTATGATCCTTTTCTTTCAGCATTAAATCTAGGCAGTGGGCTCACGTGCACAATTTCTTTGCATTTGTTTCTGTAAAAAACAACTTCTAAATTTCATGTTTTAAAAAAAACATATAAATGAAGTGTGAGCTATCAGTGATCTATAGATATCAACTACATGTGGCCTGCAATATATGATGATATGCTGCTCACTTACATTTGTTCAGAAAATGAATCATTGTTTAACAGACAGATAATAGAAAACAGGGAGGTGGACCTTTTGCAGACAGTAAGGGGATGTTGGAATGGTGAGAGTGCGGAGGGAAGGGGTGGGCTGGGAAGGGTAGACAAAAAGGGGTAAGAAGTGATGTGTCTGTGTACCAGTGCATTCATATGTAAAATTTTGGGACAAAGCATCAAAAATAAAAGATAAACTATTGGATTTCCCATTGTGGAGTGGCAGAGGTGAACCCTGTATGATACCAGATTGATTTGGCTTTGAAGTATTTTGTTTTTATTCAGTGGCCTTTGGGACAAGAGGGGATGCTGTGTTTTTGCCTGAGTACTAGGTCAAACCATTTTGCTAGATGTTTTATGAGTTGGTGTAGAGGTTAGCCAGTACCCTAAGAAAACCCCCAAGAATACGTTTAGCAATTTTAGATGTGTCTTTTCAGAGATAATTTTAAAATGGTGGCTTGTAATGGAAAGGAAGAGGAAAAGCAACAGGCAGGGGAGTCTGGCAGGAGTGAGGAAGGGCACCTTTCCTCTTCGGTGCCCTCTCCCCTGCCCTGACATACTGAGCCCTCTTGAAACACAGGTCTGACGTCCATTTTCCCATGTCCAGTCCCTTTCCCTGAGGCAGAGCAGCAAAGCTCAGCGGCCCAGTCTGCCCTCTGTGTCTGCGCTCCTTCCCTCCGTCCTCCTGTATCCCTCCCAGGACAGGACAGCAACAGACCTAACAGCAAATGCTGAGAGGCAGGTCACCCATGGGAGAGGGCATCCCTGTGCAGTACTGTCGTTCAGTGCTGTCAGGAGCGCAGTTGTTTTCCTGAGTGTTTGAGTGTTTTAATAAAATGTCATTTGAATTAAACCATTTTGGATTTTAAAAAATGAGATGTTTTTCTCTACTGACTTGAAAAAGAAGGGTAGAAAAATGATGAGGATATGATTCAGTTTCGATTTGTACTTCTCCAAATTGGTTCAAGCTTTGTCTTGGA